AGAAACCTGATGCCCAACCTTTCTCCCTCATTAGTGGCACTGCTGAATTTGGGTGTTCCTGCAAGCCCCGCTCGCTATAAAAACACAAAAATCGGGGCTTTCGCTTGAGGAAAAACACCATTGAGCTTTTTCCAGCTCGAAAATATTTTCCCACCTTGTCATTGCCACTTCCAGGCTTTATTCCAGCGGCCTGAGCGGAGGAGGTGTTCCATCATCCTGCCCCAGGTGTTTCAGGGGAGGCGATGCCCTGGTTTTGCCACAGGAAATTTCCCTGCGAGGAAATAACGAACCAATTAAGAGCTCCCAGCTGATAACGCAGGGGAAGGCACAGAAAAGATGGCAAAAGCAAATGTGGGAAGGGTTTTTTTAAACAGCAATTCCATGTTCCCATCTGGGAGTAAATTACATTGGGAAAAAAATAGGATTTTTTTGGCCAGTTAAATTGCAGATGTTCTCAGGAAAATCACAGTGCAGAACAGGGCACTGCCGTCATGGTGGCAGTGTTTGAAGAATGAAAAGTGGTTTTAATAATGAAAGGTGTTTCTAATAATGAAAACTGTTTTTAATAATGAAAAATGTTTAAATTACGAAAAAAAAATGGTGGCACTGAAGGGGAATGTGAATTGAAATATGAAAAAAAACCCCTCATTTCTCTTTAGTATTTGAGCCACACCTTTTGTAGAGAGACTTCACAAGATTTTAACTTTTAGGGGTGCTCAGACCTGGCAAGAAAATCATGGAAAATGGGAGGAAGAGAGTGAAAGAGGGAATATTTTACCAAAATTATAGAAAATTTGGGTTGGGAGGGACTTTCAAGATCTCATTGCAGCCCCTTGCCCGTCAGGGAATCTTCCACCAGACCCAGGTGAAGCTGGAAAAGTGAATCCCACAGTGAGGTCTCCCAAGGTTTGGAAGCAATGGGAATAAAACAAGGTGATAAATGCACAGACCTGTCCCCAGCCCTCTGTGCCCTGGGATTTGAGAAACGCAATTTAAGGAAATTGTGCTGAATTTGAGGAAATTCAGCACAACAGGTGCAAAATTGGGGAATTCATCACTGAAAGTGCCAATGGATGGGAAATCTGCCAGAATTTCTCCAGAAATCTCAAGCCAGGACATAAATTCTTTATTTTTTCCAGCATTTCAGTCACACTTCAAAAATGCCACAGAGGAAATGTTGTAATTCCAGTTCTTTCCTGAAGGTTAGATTTTGCTTTTTTTTTTTTTTTTTTAATACGATGCAGATAAAAGCTATTTGGCAAGTGTAGGTGAAGGAGCACGCAACCCAACCAACCTATTCAAGCTCAGAATTATATATGTATTCCCTAAAAATGTAAAGCATTTTTGCTTATTTATTATGTAAAACAAAACTGTTAAAATGTTAATAAAATCCTGTAGCCAAAGGAAAACTGAGTTGAATTTCTCTTTTTTTTTTTTTTTAAATACAGAACAAAGAGTATTTCACAAAGGAGAACGGTGCATATTTGAAAATTTATTTCAATTGTGACATGTTCTATATTGACAATTAATGTACTATAAAACGCACAGAGAGTTTTTAAAATTTAAATGCATTTTAAACGAAGACACTTGGAAAATGCAAATAACACAGAATCACTAACGAGAAACTCAACACTTGACAATTCTTCCCTGCAGTTCTTTTTTCTCCATCATTTTCTGGCCTCTGCCCTTTGCTGGGCCCAGATTTAATTTCTTTGGTGTCTGATCAAGGCAGCGCATCCCCACCACCACTTAGCCATGCAAATCATGGTTTTTTATCAAACCAGTTACCCCCAGGAACCAGCACAAATCATTCCCCTGACAGATTATTTTGATTGTAGTTGCAAAAAGTAATTTTTATTTTTTTTTTCCAGGCTGCTGATGCAGCTGAATCAGAGAAAGCAAAGCGACGAATTTTTGCACAGTGAAGCAGCAGCATAAAGAATTAAATGCTTTAATATTATTTCCAGGTAATAGGTAATAGCCCTTGATTTGTTGGATATATTAAAATACAAAAAAAAAAAAAAAAAAAAAAAAAAAAGCTCTGAAGCCTTATAAAAGCTTTACTAGAAGCAGGATGTGTCTGAAATGTGAATTACATTATTACTTTTTCAAACCTTTGGAAGCAGCTTTGTTGCTGACTGGGCACGACCCACCCTGGACTCACACACGTGCCAACACGCCCAGAAGTTTTCCTATCAATAAACAACCCCCACAAATGTTTTCACCATGAGAAATGTTCTACCAGAGCCCAGCAGGGAAAAAAAAAAAATTAAAAAAATAAAAAAATAGAAATAGGGACATGGTAATAAATGGGTTTTTTGAAAGCACTTCATCAAGAAAATAGTTTAAGATATGAGCTCAGCCTCACAATGGAAGAGGTGTTTTACTAATCCAGACAGCGGAGTGAAATGAAACATTTTCAGGGATTATTCCACACCCGGGGACAGCCCACAGCACATCTGTCTGTCACACATGGGGAACAAGGAAAAACAGGATTTTCCTGCAAAAATGTTGGGGCACAGGAAGAGCCAGACTCTGCCTGAAAGAGTCAGGGATTTCTCCAGGGATTCATCCACAAGGACTTTATCCTGCTGCTCCCTGTCCCGTGGGGATTCTCCTTGTCTTTGGTTCTGAAGGAAAAGCAACAAACCCTTCTCCCAAATCCAGGAGACACCAGAAGAGGCCACTGAAAAGGCAAAGCGGCTCCCACAGTGCTCTGGCACATCCTGGTTTGGGCAGCTCTCCCTTGTGGAAAGGAAATTCCACTCCAAATTTCTTCCCAGTGCAAAAGTTTTGGGAATAACCTGACAATTCCCATGAGAACGGAACCAGCCCATCGCTAAGGCAGCCACAAAAGGACCAACAGCGACCAGGAAATGTTGCAGAATTTAAAAAATGCTAAAAAAATCCCTCTGCTGCTGCTCAGCTTTACAAACTCATTCTGCCCTTCCAAAATTCCCATGTTTTACCCTTTTCCCCATCTTTTTTTTGTCCCTGGTGAAGGGAAAAGGAAGTTTTTTGAGGAAGCCACTCAAACCCCAGCCTGAGGCACGGCCTGGTTGTTCAATCCCTCCAGGCACTTCCCAGCCTGTGTGGAACAGGAACAAAACACAAAAGGCAAATCCTAAAGGCAATCCCCACAGGCAAACCCTAAAGCTGAGACACTTTCAGCTACAAATTCTGGCTTAAGGTGAAGTTTTGTAAAACTCTGTGGTTGGAAAAGCAGCACCAGAGCTCTGCTTTGCTGCAGTTTGCTCGTGAAGGAGAAGGCAGAAAATAAATGAGGATGCAGCAGGAAGATGTGAGATGTGATTTTTTATAAATCTATATATAAATATATGTTTTTTTTTCTTTTTATTGAAGCTTTATTAAGCCAGACTCGAGTCTCAGTTGATCACAACATGCATTAATATTGAATTCTGATATCAAAGGCAGCTGCCAAACCTCCTCAGCCCAAAGCAGTTTTGAAAGCATCTGGTGGGGAAAAGCCAAACTTGGTGCGTCGTTTTAATTATTATTTTAATTATGGCAATTAACAGCTGTGTGTAGTTCTAGGCGATGCTGGTGTGCAGCCTCATGTGATTTGGATCATGGGGGAAAAAAAGAAAACCCAGCAGGGTTTGGACAATCAGGACAAATCTTCTGTGAGATGGAGCATGAAATCCCAAATTTAACAGGGACAATTTAATTTCTGCTCTTGCTGCCAAACCACCTAAACCCTAATATGTGAGGATTGGTCAAAATTACCATCACAGACAAGTTTCCTTGGTTTAAGACTTCTTGGCTTTGGAGCTGAGACAATCGAAAATGTTTGGATTGCTTATGAGGTGAACTTTAACCTGAAACCCCCATTTCTGGCTAGAAGACAGGAGTTTCCTTTCTGGAATTTCCAATCTGGCTGATCCACCATGAAAAAAAAAAAAAAGAAATTAAGGTGGCCACATCACACCTGGGACAAAATTGTCTGGGGAGCCGTGGTGGCCAAATCTCCTTGGGAGGAAACCCCACCAAGCTCCCAGTGGGAGCTCCAGGAGAATTCCCAGTGTGTTCCCCCACATGGAAATGTGCAGGCTGCCCCAAAAATCAGCTGCTTCCAGGTCAGCAGGGGCTAAAGCTCCTGCTTTTAGGGCTTAGCAGCAAAACCAGACCTGGTTTGGGAAAGGGGGTGACAAAAGGGCTGAGGAAGAGAATTTGGGCACGGGGGAACAGTGTGATTTCTGTTTCTCAATGGAATAGTTGTTTGCAAAAGGGAATTTGATTTATTCCCTTTATTTATTCACTTAACTACATTGAGATAATGATAAAATTACCACTAAATTCTGAGTTAGTGGTAATCATAGAATTAATTAGTGGTAATTGTAGAATCCCATCCCCTGAGATGGGATTCTACAAAAACCTGGGTGTGACACTTTTCCAGTGGGTTTTCCTTCCTGAAACCCCTTGGAAAACCACGATTTAAAGGACAGGTGAGATGATTTTACTCAGATCCAAGTGAGTGAGGAGAGCAGAGTGCAAATCCCTTGGATAACCCAGCACAGCTCCTCGGTGCTGATGGAAAAACTCTCCCAAAAACTCAAGGCAGCCATTTCAGAGTTGCAGACCTGAGATCAAAGCACAGGTTGGTAAATTATTGTAGAGGTTCTACACAGAGAAGAACCAAATCAGGATCTTCACCCAGACCTGGAATTAAGCACAGTGGTGATCCCAGCAGTTCAGGAATATGTGATGTTCCAGCTGGTTTTAGTGCAGACAACACAGAAAAACAGCATTTAGATTAAAAAAAAAAAAAAAAAAAGTAAAAAAGTAAATATTGTCCTGCACTGTGCTAAATCACACAGAAACAAAAAAAAAGGAAATGTTGAGCCACTTCAGTCTCTCCAGTACAGGGTGTAAATGAGGAGAAAGTTGTGTTCACCACAAATATTCTCTCCAGTACAGGGTGTAAATGAAGAGAAAGTTCTGCTCACCACAAAGAACAGATCCTTACAAAGAATGGCAGCAGAGGTGAGTTTTAATGTTAACGAAAAGAATAAAGGCCTTCAGCTGTGAGATCACCACCTCTCCTCAGCCGCCGACGTTACCCACGGCAAACACAACAACCAGAAGGCCAAACCAAACTGTGAGCTCCCCTCAGAGGCCGAGGTGGCAGCGCCAGCCCCAGAGCTGCTGTCAGTGCTTGGGCACGATGAGGTTCCTCAGCATGTCGAAGGAGTTGCCGTCAGGGTGCACGGACTCCACGCCCCCGCCCTCCTGGTGCACCTGCAGGAACCCAAAGCCGTCGATGCCGACGATCCAGGCCAGGGGCCCGTCCTCGCTGCGCAGCCTCACCCGCTGCCCGCTGCAACACAGAACCGTCAGTGCCGCCCCGGGGGGCGCAGGCCGGGGCTGGGGGGCTGCTCTGGGAATCTGCCACACACAGCTTTTGTGGAAAATCCTTTCCTTAGGGTTTTCCTCCTGAGGAGCTGACAGGCCTCAGGAATGAAATGTGAACATTGATTATCTGCTGCTCTGGGAATCTGCCACAGACAGCTTTTGTGGAAAATCCTTTCCTTAGGGTTTTTCCTCCTGAGGAGCTGAGAGGCCTCAGGAATGAAATGTGAACATTGATTATCTGCCGCTATGGGATGCAACAGGTGCATCTGGGATTGGTCTCATGTGGTTGTTTCTAATTAATGGCCAATCACAGTCAGCTGGCTTGGACTCTCTGGTCAGTCGCAAGATTTTATTATAATTTCCTTTTCTACTCCTTTCTAGCCTTCTCATGAAATCCTTTCTTCTATTCTTTAGTATCATTTTCTTTTAATATAATATATAATTTTCTTTTAATACAATATAAAAATTTCTTTTAATATAATATATATAATAAAATGAGTATAATATATAAAAATCTAAAAAAAATTAATATAATATAATATAATATAATATAATATAATATAATATAACATAATATAATATTATATTATATTATATTATATTATATTATATTATATTATATTATATTATATTTAATATAGTATATATTTTTATATAATATATATAATTTTCTTTTAATATAATATATATCATAAAATAATAAAGCAGCCTTCTGAAACATGGAGTCAAGGTTGTCATCTCTTCCCTCATCTGGAACTCCTGTGAACAGCACAGTTCACACCTGGTGTTCCCAGAGGGAGCCCAGGCCCATCTGCAGCAGCCCTGGAGCTGCAGAGGAAAACTCCCCCCTTGTGCAGGATCCCTGCTGCAGCAGAGCCACAGCTGGCACTGCAGGAGGGCTGAGCCCCATGGCATGGGGCTGGGACACCTCCCTGGCACACAGGGGACAGGGCATGGCCTCACTCTGGCAAGGTTCTTTTGTATTACTGCATTTTTATTTTTTTTTTTCCCCTAATAAAGAACTGTTGTTCCTATTCCCATATCTTTGCCTGAGAGTCCCTTCATTTCAAATTAATAATCATTCAGAGGGAGGGGGTTTACATTTTCCATTTCAGAGGAGGCTCCTGCCTTCCTTAGCAGGAGCTTTTCAAACCAAGGCAGCAGCTCATGGACACTGAGCAATTAAAACTGATGCCTTAAGATTTTATCTTTTCTATTTTCCCAATCCTGTACTGCCTTAGTGCATAACTCTAAACTCCTTGTAAAGTGTTGGTTACTGTCTCCACATTTTGGTCAGACCAAACCATCCCCCCAGGCCTGAGACCCAAGGACACCCCACAGCCTCAGGCCCTGAAAATACAAACAAAAGTGAATTGGGAGGAGCAAACTGGGGGTGAATGACTTCATTACCTGAAGCTGTAATTGGAGAATTAACCCCTGATGTGTAAATGGACCAAACTGATAATTGTGTGAAACTCTGGTGAGCATTGTCCAGCTTGGGTGAGGCCTCTGGAGGCTTCTGAGTGCCCCGGGTGTATCTGTGGAGCCTTTAATGAATACCTGCTCACATTCTCTTAATCTTGGCTAGCCTCTGCTCTAGGGAGCCACTGCAAGGCATCAAAATCACCTCAGAGGACTCATCAGAATCATTAAAAGGATCATGGAAAGGTTTGGGTTGGATCATCCTAAACTCTCTCCACTGTGCCAGGCTGCTCCAGGCCCCAATGTCCATCCTGGCCTTGGGCACTCCAGGGTTCCTCAGGGCTTCAGCACCCTCACAGGAAAGGCTTCACCCTCTAACAGATTATTTCATTTCTCACCTCACTGGTTCTTTACACACAATGACTTTCAGCAGCATTTTCTACCTGTTTTAATGTCCTCTTGTGGAATGGACGGAGTTGGAGTTAATCCAAACAATCTATTGTTTTTTCCTCCTAGAAGTACAGCAGCTTCATCCATCTCAAGCCAAATCATTCCAAATCGCCTTTGTTTGGGGATGATACATGTAAAATACCTGGAAGCATTCTTTAACTCAAGCTATCACTGATTTATTATGTGCTGCTTTAATTCTCCCTTAAAAATGTGCATCCTTCTTGGGAGTGTATTTTAAACTATTCACTCATATCTAAGGGAATTTTCTGGAAAAAGACAAAATACCCATGAGTTCTTCCACCAATTTTATGAAAAGAAAGTTTGAGAATTCTTACCTGTGTACCCAGTACTTGTAGTACTGGGGCAGAACTCCATTGGGCCCCTTCTCCTGGAACAGCTCAATGAGCCTCTCCAGCACAGTCACAGTCCTTGCAATGAGGCAATCTGCACTCAGAGCCTTCAGCTCCGTCCCCTCTTCCCTGTTAAACTTTGCAATGAGGTCATTGATGCAGATGGTGGGGTTGCTGTTATTCACATTAAAGCCAAAGCCTGCAGAAGACAAAGAGGAGGACACAATCAAAGAGACAAACTCTTTGTTAGCACCACAGCCAGATTTAATTCAGCTGCTCCCTACAATGATCCCTCAGGATGGCTCCCAGAGCTGGCCTCATTCAGCCTCTCACACCTCTGGATCTTCTTTCTCCTGTAATTACAATTCTCAGCTCAGATTTTGCTCTTTTTCCTCCTCAGAGTCACAGAGGCCAATCCAGCAGAGCCTTCCAACCCCACCAGTGAGGGCTGGGAGAGGACAAACTGCACCTTGGTTCCAGAACCTTCCATGTGAGCCATTCCTGCGCTCCCTGGAAGGTGCTCAGCCCACTCAGAGAACAACTGATCCCACCTAAGATGGAGCTTGATCCCAAAACTCAGCTCAGAGCCCTTTCTGCTTCCTGCAGAGAGCTCAGTGCCCTTTCCAAACCCCAGACCTTGCGCTCAGCTGATAAAGCCTCGCTTGGCTTGCTCAGGAAAGCCCAGGAGATTTGATTTTAACTTTGTGAGACTCCAGTTTGCCTAATCCATCTCACCACAGCATGTCCCTTAGAAGCCTCCAGCCTCTCGCTGACATTTCTCCAGCTGCAATTCCCAAATTCTGAGTTGGCAGAATGCCTCCCTTGTTTGAATATGGCTCCTGGGGCCTTTTCTGCAGCCTGCTGAAACAGCCTGCCAGGGATGTAAAGAACTATATTGTATTACCTGTTTATTTTTTTCTCCTAATAATTTGGGTTTTTTTTTTTTTTTTTCCTTCCCTCAGACATTTGGGATAAAACTCCCTGTCTGTCAATCAGGTTTGGGCAGTTCTGTTTGCAAGGAGATGTCTTGATTTGTAAATTTGCTGTTAATAATTCACAATTTGTGTTAACTTTGAGGAGAATTCCTTCAGTGAAAAGGAGTTTAACAAGTCAGGGAATAAACACAAAACAAGGCACAGTGATCCCAACACGCCAGTGCTGTGGAAATGAGCTGAAATTTGGGTTACTGGAAAGAGATAAAGGAAAATGAACTGGAAAATACAACGAGCTGTGCCAGCAAATCCCAACTCAGGTGTCTGCAATCCAGTGTGAGGGAACAGAGACACCACTGAGGGGTCACAGAGCCTTGGGGTCCATCAGGATCACTGCTCAGCAATCCAAAAGTGGGACACAGCAGCCACCCTGCAGCTGAAGCCCCAACAGCTGGGAATGAACACGGCCAAGGGGAAAAGGCAGCAGGAAATTGGAAAGCCACGAGGGGCTCGGAGCTCTGGGGGCACTGTGCAGCGTCCATGAGAGAGCAGAGCCCTCAGCAGCGCTGATGTGGCTGATGGATGTTGCAGTGAGGCTCCATGAGGAGCTGGACGTGCCTGAGCAGAGCAGAGCGGGGTTTGCTCGCTGGCTGCCCCCTGCATTCCGCTGGCGCCTGGCCCTCACATCAATGGTGAACCTTCTCCTCAGAACTCCTCCTCCACAAGTCCCAGCACCGTAAAGTTCTTCCATTTCAAACTCCAAATTGGAAAAACAAGGTTTTTTTGGGTTTGTTTTTTTTTTTTTTCTTCCAAACTGTCTTTAAAAGTCTCAGCGTGGAGCGTTGTCACCTGCAGGGCTTGAGCAGTGGAAATGCAGGTTTGTCTTTGATCTTATTCTCCTGAGCTCCTCCTTGGAGCAGTGGAGCCACAGAGATGACCCTTGGTTTCCATCATTGTGACCGACCGTGTTCACAGCGGTTTTCAGGTGAGGGAAGAGACAAAAATGTTGACTCCATGTTCAGAAGGCTTGATTCATTATTTCATGATATATATATATTACACTAAAACTATACTAAAAAGAACAGAAGGAAAAGTTTCATCTCAGAAGGCTGGCTGAGCTAAGAATAGAAAGGAAAGAATGATAACAAAGGTTTGTGTCTCAGACAGAGAGTCCGAGCCAGCTGGGCCGTGGTTGGCCATTAATTGCAAACATCCGAGATGTGCCAATCCCAGATGCACCTGTTGCATCCCACAGCAGCAGATAATCAATGTTTACCTTTTGTTCCTGAATCTTCTCGGCTTCTCAGGAAGAAAAAAATCCTAAGAAAGGATTTTCATAAACAGATGCCTGCGACACACCATTATCCTCATTTATGGGTGGTTCTGAGGAATGCCATGGAAAGGGCGAGCTCAGTGCCTGGAGGTGGCACTGAGTGCTCTGGGCTGGCGACAGGGTGGGCACAGCTGGCACTCCATGGGCTGGCAGGGCTTTTCCAGCCTCAGGGATCCTGGGATTCTGCCTAGGAAAGGATCCTTTGGAAGAGGGGAGATGGATCTGAGACACCTTCGCTGCTGGGGAAGCTGAATCCCATCACTCCTACCAATCCCAGAGCTTCAATGTCATGAGGGCCCTCTAGGACTCCATGAAACACAGCACTGGAATGATGGAAAACATCCTTGGATTCACATGGAGCAAGGAAGTTTCAATTTGAAAATCTCCCAGCTGAAAACAGACTGGTAAAAACAGGCATTTATCTATACCTCAGACCTTCCAGAGGAATATCAGAGAGAATGGATAGAGAAAATCTCCATTTGAATTGGAATATTTTGATGTTCAGGGTTAGAATGGAAAGGTCCAACCCAAACATGTGAAGTGCTTAAAGAGATACTCGATATAATGAACTATTTTTGGATGTATTCCTGCTTTCCTTGTGTTAACCAGGCTGTAGGAAAACATGGAAGTTGTAAATGGCTGAAGGGGCACAGAGAGATTTCTAAAGTTTCCGTGCAATTTCCATTCTGTTGGAGTCGATTATTTACAACATGGAGGTATAAAATGGAACGGAAAATGTCCTGTCTGGCCATGTTTCACAGAAAGAGGTGACTTCTTCAACTCTTTTCTTGTTTGCACCTCTAAAATCACAGAATTTTGACAGAAACAACACCGTGACCACTCCATCTTTGCAGGATATTTACTTGTGCTATATTCAAATAGCAAATATCATCTTTTTCTTTACCCTTTTAGACTTGCTAAGGAATTTCTTTCAATTTTTTAGACACAGCACAGACAATTACTTTTGGAACCAGAATCTGGGAAGTTTCTCAGCAGATCTGGGATGCTTAGGGGAAAACTTCCTTATCACGGAGCAGGATGATTATCAGACTAGAGATGAACAAAAATATCTCAATAATTAAAAAATGAAAAAACATTACTCTGTGCATGTAGCTCTTTTGATTTAAAAGGCATGTTCTTCATTTAACTATTTGACATGTTCCAAAAAATCCATAAATTGGAAAAAAGGATGGATTTTTCAGTATATTCCACATAAATCAAGGAGGACAATTCCCCTCTCCCATGTAATGCTCTTCCTTTGAACTCTCCTACACCAACCCAGATGCTTGCATTTATGTTTTACTTGTCAAGCATATGGAGTTATTGAGAAGAATGAAAACATTTACTTTTTGTGCTTCCTCTGGATTGAATGTTGTGCTTCATTTCCTTATGCCTGCTGTCATTATTTGTTCTCATCGTTGCCATTTTTACTGCTACAGACACTGATAACAAAATCCTCCAGAAAAAACCCAAAAATCGGCAAGAAAAAGCTTCAAAACAGACATTTACCAATGAGAATATGAAATGTTGTTTCAATGAGTGTTGAGTTCACCAGAACCCCACCAATCTTCATCAGGTCACTGTAGTAAATATCATTTGGCCACTTCACTCGCAGCTCGATGTCCTGAAGGAACAAAAGCAGACATTGAGAGACATTTATGGCTCATTCATCACCCCATAATCTGTAGAGAATCCCAGAATGGTTGGGGTGGAAGGGACCCCAAAGCCCACCCAGTGCCAGCCCTGCCATGGCAGGGACACCTCCCACTGTGCCAGGGTGCCCAGGGCAGATCTGCTGCACCTGAGGGGACATCAGCCCTTGGCAGGGGGGCAAAGCAGAGTTAAAGGTTTAGAATCAATCATGTTACAGCAAGAAAATCTTAAAAATTATCAAAATCTCAGTGCTTGAACTTCCCTTTTGGACTCAAGTCCTGCAAGGCTTTTCCGTATGTCCATGTCATGCCAACTGCAGCGGCCACGAACAGTGGGATGATCTGCAGAGTGATGGAATCATGGAATGGGTTGGGCTGGAAGGGATCTGAAAGATCACCCAGTGCCACCCCTGCCATGGCAGGGACACCTCCCACTGTCCCCAGTGTCCAGCCTGGCCTTGGGCACTGCCAGGGATCCAGGGTGGAATTCCATCCCAGCCCCTGCCCACCCTGCCAGGGAAGGATTTTTTCCCACCATCCCACCTAAACCTGTAATTTTTCAGTGTGGAGCCATTCCCTGTGTGCTGTCCCTGCATCCCCTGGCCATTGTCTCTCTCCAGCTTTCCTGGGGCTCCTCCAGGCCCTGCAAGGCCGCCCTGAGCTCAGCCCAAAGCTTCTCCTGTGCAGGTGAGCAATGCCAGCTGTGCCAGCCTTTCCTGCCAGCAGAGCTGCTCCATCCCTCTGCCCATCCTGGAGCCTCCTCTGGGCTCTCTGCAGCAGCTCCAGCTCCTCCTGGGCTGGGGCAGCTCTGCAGGTGGGGAATCACCTGAGCAGGGCAGAGGAGGAGATTTTTCTCTGCCTCTTTGCCACGCCCAAAGTGCTGCTGTCGACTGCTCCTCTTAATGAGAATCCACTGAAGTTCTCCACAAATGCTACAGAAAATGGAACCCTGCCTGAGGAACCTTGCAGGAACTGATGCCTCAGCTTTGAGCTTTTCTGTTTTTCAGATTCTGTGCTGCTTTAGTGTGTGGGGCTGGGTTCACATTCAGGGATGGTGAGCTCTGTGCACAGAGCAGGGAGACAAAACAATTCCTGCTCCAGCTGGGCACCAAGGACAAATGAGCCAAATCTCAGCCCAGGAGCACAAACCCCGTGGGCTGGAGAGAGAAAAACAAGCAGGGTGGGACTGCCTGGGCTAAAGCTGGGATGGGACAATGAACTGCAAGGTGCAAATGGAGCAGAACTGATCCCAGGGACAGCCCCCGTGCCCGGCCGTGCATTTTGGGGCCATTTTGGTTCATCTTGGGCGCAGCCCTGGCTGGGCTCTGGTGCTGCCCAAGGTGCATCCATGGAGGAGATGCTGTGAATGAATCCCTGCTTTGTTCTGTAGCTCTGCCCAGCTCTGCTCTGGGGCAGCCTGAACAAGGCATCAGCAGCAGCCAAAGAGACACTGACATCCTGAATTTCAGAAAGGAAACTCAGCAGACAGGAGAAATCCCAGCTCCCAACCACACAAACGGTTCAGAAACCTCCCAAAGCTGTCCCTGCTGGAAACACAAACCGAGCAGCGACAACATCCCAGCCCCACAGAGCAGCTTTTGTGCAAACCACAGGGCTGGGCTGAACTTTGCACTGGCTACTTGAACACAAAAAGAAAGCAAATGTGCTTCCTGCAGCTTGAAACGCTGCCCACGGCTGCTGCATCCCCAGGGGCAAATTATGGGAGGTGCTCCAGGCCTACAGGAGTCGCATTCCCTCCCGTTGTAGGGGGTGAAATCCCTTTACAGGATGTGTGAAAGCTGCACCTGGGTCCGTGTCTACTTTCCTGACAGATTTAAAGGCCAGGGAGGAGTCCATGACACGTCCACTGACAGGAAATACTACCTGATTTTGCTATCAAAGCATTCTGAGGGAAAGTATCACCAGCTCCTATTCGTTATGGGAAAGAACTTGGCTCCCTGCACTGGGGGAAGGATTTTAGGGCACTCTGGAGACGTGGGAGGAATGACGCAGTGGAATGGTGCTCTCGGTGATAATAAAAGGGGGAAGCACACACCTGTGAGACAGCAGACAGTAGCTCTGTGACTGAAGTGACAACAGCAGCAAGAACAGCTGGGGCAGCTGGGTGTTCTCACGGCTGTTGTATTTGTGGGGTGTCCCCATGAAGGCAGGAATGATGAATCTGACTCCATGTTCTCATTCATTATTTTAAGATACTACATTATATTAAAGAATGCTATACTAAACTGTACTAAAGAATACAGAAAGGATACTTACAGAATGCTAAAAAGATAATAATGAAAACTCCTGACTCTCTCCAGAGTCCTGACATGGCTTGGCCCCGATTGGCCAAAGAGTGGAAACAACTCACAGCAGAATCCAATGGAACAATCACCTGTGGGTGAACAATCTCCAAACACATCCCACATGTGAGCACAACACAGGAGAAGCAAATGAGACAAGAATTTGTTTTCCTTTTTCTCTGAGGCTTCTCAGCTTCCCAGGAGAGAAATCCTGGGCAAAGGGATTTTTCAGAGAATGTGAATGCCACACATGATTTGCCACGGAGTGGATTCACCAGATACCACACAAAATGTCACCAAATAAGCTAGAAATGGAGCAATTATTGTCTTCCCTCACTAGAGAGAGACTCTGATGTTCTCAGAATGGGAGAGCAAAGCATCCTCTTGATTTAAATCCCATTTGCATCCTCAGCATGAACATCTGACAAGGGAACTTCCAACCGAGCCCTCAGACCTGCGCTGGGAGGACCCAGAGCAAAGGCCTCGGTTACTGCTGGTTCAGCAGGGTCAGTAATTGTGGCCATCCTAAAAACCATGAATGGTGATAAACTGAGCCATGGACCTCTTGGAAGCAGGATGGGCAGAGGGATGGAGCAGCTCTGCTGGCAGGAAAGGCTGGCACAGCTGGCATTGCTCACCTGCACAGGAGAAGCTTTGGGCTGAGCTCAGGGTGGCCTTGCAGGGCCTGGAGGAGCCCCAGGAAAGCTGGAGAGAGACAATGGCCAGGGGATGCAGGGACAGCACACAGGGAATGGCTCCACACTGAGAAATTACAGGTTTAGGTGGGATGTGGGAAAAAAATCCTTTTTGTTCCCAGAGCAGCTGTGGCTGCCCCTGCATCCCTGGCAGTGCCCAAGGCCTGGTTGGACACTGGGGACAGTGGGAGGTGTCCCTGCCATGGCTGGGGTGGCACTGGGTGATCTTTCAGATCCCTTCCAGCCCAACCCATTCCATGATTCCATCACTCTGCAGATCATCCCATTGTTCGTGGCCGCTGCAGTTGGCATGACATGGACATGAGGAAAAGCCTTGCAGGACTTGAGTCCAAATAAGAAGTTCAAGCACTGAGATTTTGATAATTTTTAAAATATTCTTACTGTAACATGATTGATTCTAAACCTTTAACTCTGCTTTGCCCCCCTGCCAAGGGCTGATGTCCCCTCAGGTTCAGCAGATCTGCCCTGGGCACAGAAATCTCTTTACTCTCCAAATGCTCAGTACAGCACACACATTATTGATCCACATTTTTCACATCAATATTTGGAACTTCAGTCACCTTTTTGCTCCTGAATGGAATAAAATTTAAAAATGCCACAGTACATCAGGGCAGGCACACAGGAGCAAAACCACCTCCATTCATAAATGAGCTCCTTCCCCAGCCATCCCCATGTTTTATAAAACTAACTCTTGTCCCTTCGTTTTTAAGTGGTCAAATTATCCACTCCAGCCAAATGTTTTATATTGCAAATTTTTGCCCTGAAGCATTTTGTTTTTCTAGTCAGGTTATGAAGCACTGAATTTAGAAGGGTTTAATAGAAAGGCTGACAGACCCTAAACTCCAGCAAAGCTACTGGGTGCCACTATAATAAAGTTCATGTGTAAATGTGTATAAGTCATTGATTTTCTGTAATATAGGAAACATATGCTTTAGTTAACTACTTCTGTAAAATACCAAAGTTTTATAGTTAGCAAATATTAGGAAATGGTAACATTAAAAAGGAGATATATGAGGTGATAAAGAAGACTGGTTCTTCATTTTAATACTGATGACAGGACACTTGATTCCCTCTCGAGAGCAATTCTCCTCAGTTCTTGCTTTAGAAATCAGTTTTCAACCTTAAACAAGGCTTGGAAAAATCCTTTAAAAGGGATAAAGTGACCACTGAAACAGCCCCAACAAAAAAGCAGAAAAGGATTTGTCAGTTTTATTCATTTTTCCCTCCTCCTTATTCTCCTTCAAAATCAAAACAAATCAGCTCCATTGCTGGGCAAACAAAATTGACTTTTTCTTTACTGCTGAGGATTGAGGCTTAAGTTTCGTAAGATTTAGAGCGAAATGAGTGCAGTGCATTTGATCAGCTCAGCAAAAAAATACTGACCCTCCGGATATTGGATTTCTCCAAACATATCAATAACCACCAAACATCAGGAATGGTTAGGTTTAGGTTCTTTTTAAGAAGTGAATTATGCATTCAGCCATTAGACACAGAAAAGCCACAGCTAAAATCTGAATTTAATGGAGCTTGAGATGAGTTAGAAGGACATACCTCATATCCTGGGATGGATCTGACTGCCTCCACCACGGCCAGGGACACCAGGTGCTGGATAAAGGGAATTCTCTGGCCCAGGTTGGAATGCAGAGGGATGGAGAGGTGCAGAGTGGACAGGGCACAGCCCATGGGGCTGAGCCAAACGTTCCCACCACGACCTGGGCAGGGACAGGAAAAAGGAGAACTTCAACTTAAGAAAAGAATATTTATAAAGAAGATCACTTTGTGAATATAGATAACAAAAGATAGCTAAAGATATAGATAACTAAAGAGAAAGATTCAAAGATATCCGTCCAAGAATGTACCAAAATTCCTTTAATGCAACCAAAGATTCAAAGATATCCATCCAAGAATGTACCAAAAGTTCCTTTAATGCAACCAAACCAATTTTCCAAACCAACTGGTTTCCAAACCAATTTTGAAAGAAAAAGGGTTAAACTGCAAAGCTTTTTCTTCAAAAAAAATTTGGAATTTTTAAAATATTCCCATCCCTGTAAGTGTTCAAGGCCAGGTTGGATGGGGCTCTGAGAACCTGGTTTGGTGGAAGGTGTGGCAGGGGGTGGAACAAAATCATCTTTAAGTTCCCTTCCAACTCAGGCCATTCTATAATTCTGTAATTCTTTAAGGTCCCTCCCAACTCAGGCCATTCTGTAATTCTGTAATTCTTTAAGTTCCCTTCCAACTCAGGCCATTCTATAATTCTGTAATTCTTTAGGGTCCCTCCCAACTCAGGCCATTCTATAATTCTGTAATTCTTTAAGGTCCCTCCAACTCAGGCCATTCTATAATTCTGTAATTCTTTAAGGTCCCTCCCAACTCAGGCCATTCTGTAATTCTTCAATTCTGTAATTCTTTAAGGTCCCTCCCAACTCAGGCCATTCTATAATTCTTTAATTCTTTAGGGTCCCTCCCAACTCAGGCCATTCTATAATTCCGTAATTCTTTAAGGTCCCTCCAACTCAGGCCATTCTATAATTCTGTATTTCTTTAAGGTCCCTCCCAACTCAGGCCATTCTGTAATTCTTCAATTCTGTAATTCTTTAAGGTCCCTCCCAACTCAGGCCATTCTATAATTCTGTAATTCTTTAAGGTCCCTTCCAAATCAGGCCATTCTATAATTCTGTATTTCTTTAAGGTCCCTCCCAACTCAGGCCATTCTATAATTCTGTAATTCTTTAAGGTCCCTCCCAACTCAGGCCATTCTATAATTCTGTAATTCTTTAAGGTCCCTCCAACTCAGGCCATTCTATAATTCTGTATTTCTTTAAGGTCCCTCCCAACTCAGGCCATTCTGTAATTCTTCAATTCTGTAATTCTTTAAGGTCCCTCCCAACTCAGGCCATTCTATAATTCTGTAATTCTTTTCTGTAATTCAGTTCTGAGCTTCTGAAGGACAAGCTGCTGCTCAATTTCCCAGCATGTCCTAAATCCCCTGCTCCCAGGATTCTCCTGGTCTCTGCTGACAGACACATTTTAAAGATCTCGCTTTGTTCAGGTGTAAAAGCATTTCTAAAAATGCTCTGTGTGCACCCAGAAATGCGCCCAAACTCTGAACCACCCTGCTCTGAAAGCAGGGAATCATCTCCTCGTGGATTTGTGCTGGGAAAAGCTCCCTGGGCCACACGCTCTGCTCCTGCAGCAGAATAAATGCGGCTTTCAAAGAAGTGCCAGCATTTTTCTGGGCAGGAAACACGACTTGCTTACATTTATCTGCTCGGGCAGGTCCTTCAGACTCAATCTCAGGCCCCAGCCCTGCTCCAGCTCGCCCAGTTTCAGTTTCCATCTGCAGCTCTGACTCGTGTTACACTGAGTGCAGTGATGGCAGCTTTTGTGACTGGCAAAACCTTTTTGGCAGGAGCCAGGAGACCATTAAATCATTTCTGCAAAAGCCACCAAACATCCTGAAAATGTTTACTTTGGTCTCTTGTTAACTTCTGGGTTTTGAGTTTGAATCCGCAGTTTGAGCAGGAGGAGAAGAGGACAGGCTTATTCTATGGATTATATGATCAAAAATGCTCATAATGCAACTTAAAATGTTCTATTTTGTGTATTTAATACACATTTATGAGTGAAACAAGGAGATTTACTCACCTTTCCCTTGTGTTTGTCGAACAGCCACTGCTATTAAACCCATCTCCTCAGGCAAGTCGAACATTAACCTGCCAATTAGGGAAAAAACCAAAAAACCCCACATGCTTATCAGCTGCAACACCAAGCTACATTCATGAAAATCAAGGCTTAAATATCAGGTAATATTTTATGTTAATGTTGCACCACCATTTTTTTTCAGTTAACATTTAATCCTGATCCAAACCCATTAAAATATTAAAAAAATGATTGGCTGGAAAACGATAATGTAAAATATTATTTTATCTGAAATAAGTCAGAGCTATAGTTCATTTCAGTTCTGATAACCCAGGTTTTGTATTCCTTCACTTCTTCCTCAAGTGCTCATGTTTTGGGTGTCCCTATCCTCAGCAAGTGACAACCAGCAATTCCAAACATTTGTTTCTACTTACAGCGAATTTTTGTTCATACTACAAAATACAAGAGCAGCAGTTTCTGATTATTTAGAAAACCAATATGGTGGCAATAAAGCCGTTTAAAAGATACACTATCCCCTGAGAACTAATTATGATTTAACTACAGTAAATAAATCTACACCTTCTGAGAGCTCTAGAGAACACTGGCTTATTTTAGCCTTGTGTTCTGCTTTTAAAATAGTTTCACTTAAAAGAATACTAACTTTCCTCTGGGGATAAGTAGAAAGTGCACTTTAACACCACCAAATGAGTCAATGCTACACTTAAAATTTAAAAAAAAAATTTTAAAAAAAGAAAAGAATAAAAAACCCTACTGTGAGAACTTTGTTCAAGTCACTTTTAAACAGATCTGAACTGCACCACGATCCTCCTCCATTTCACATTTTCAGGGTTATTTCAGAGATAAAACATATTGAAGATGTTGTCTGTGAGCTAAGCCCAAAAAGGGATGTCTAGCCCACAGATCTGCTTCTCCCACAGGGACAAACCATGTTGGTCATTCCTACAAAAGCAATCTTGTCTCAGGGGTGAGGGCAGCCCAAATCAGAGCAAACAGCACCATTCACAATGATTTCCTGTGAGAAATGCATTTGTAAACAATTTCCAAAATGTGACGGAAAGTTTATGTATTGTTGTATATTTGTAATACTGAGAGAAGGTGTAAATAAGATTTAAAATATGGTTTTGTAAAATGATTAGGTATTTTAGAGAATTAGAACCGCAAAAGATGTATTGTAGTAAGGCTATGTGAGGAAAAAAATACAGGTAATTGGTGTTAGAAGTAATAGTAGTATTGTGTGGTAAAGGTTAGTAAGTTTAAATACATAATAGTTATAAGTTTAATTAAAAACATTTATAAAGTATTGTAATTAAGAAAGAGGTTGGCTTTGGATGGAATGGCACTGAGTTTTACATCTCTTGTATGTCACTATTCGAGACTCATAACAGAATAAAATCTTTTTAAACATCTCTCAGTTGGCTCATCTTTTAACAGCTGAGAAAACCAACAATTTCCCCTGAATTTCAGAGGGGTTTGGGAGCTGGTTCAAGATCTGCAATTGAGGAGGTCCCACAGAGACACAAATTCTTCGTGCTGAGATGAAGAACCATCCATTGCTCCTGCTCCACAGGCTGATAACAATGAGACGTCAGCAACTCCTGGGGCTGTGGCAGCACCAAAATGCAAGAAACCCAGAGATTTCAGGGCATCTTTAAATGCCTGACTCAATTTAGGTTGGATGTTAGAAAAATGGTTTTTAATGGAAAAAGTGAGAAAGTTCTGGAATGGCTGCCCGGGGAGGGGGTGGAGTCCCCATCCCTGGGTGTGTTTAACAGAGCCTGGATGTGGCACTGGGGGCCAGGGTTCAGCTGGGGCTGGGCTGGACTCGATGGTCTGGAAGGTCTCTCCCAACCCAGTGATCCTGGAATTCTGACATTCTGCTTTCGTGGTGATGAGGTTATGGGAAAGCCCAAGCAAAGTCTGGATCACAAATGCCTTTGCTAATTACAAATCACAGAATCCTGGAATGGTTTGGGTTGGAAGGGACCTTAAAGATCCTCCAGTTCCACCCCTGCCATGGGTAGGGACACACAAAGCAGCAGGAGCTGGACCAGGCCCCACAACGTTTTCCCCATTATTCCTCAGTCATGGAGATGCCATCAAAGGCCAACAGCTAGAAAATCTCTTTGCCAGTCGCCTTCCATGGAACACACCTTGGGAATTGTCTCCTCTGGACGCTGTGGATCACATGCTGAGACCAGGCCCACCTATCTACCACCTTTAGCAGCAAATTTTACCTCTTGACATTAAATCCCAAAATCATCAAGATTGGAAGAGCCCTCCAGGATCACCCAGTGCCATCGCCCCAATCCCTGTCCCCAAGGCCACATCCAGACTGCTCTGGGACAATTCAGGGACTCCAAACCTCCCTGGGCAGCTCAGCCCAAGGCCTGACCACTCTGTGAGGGGCAAAAATCTCCCAGAGCTCTACAGAAACCTGAACAGAGACTCTCAAATGTTCCCATCTCACAGAGATCCAGAGGACAGCCAGGAAAAGATCCACCAAAGGAATCTGGGTGAGGATTTTTTGTTCAGTTTCACCGGAACTGTTTTAAAAAACCTGAGCCCGCCCTGGTGCCATCTGAGGCCATTTCCTCTCCTCCTCCTTTCCCTGCCCTTCATGTCAGGAGCTCTGCAGAGCACTGAGGTCCCCCCTGAGTCCCCTTTTCTCCAGGCTGAGCATCAGAGAGCTGTGACTGATCCAACCTGCCCTGAGGGTGGAGTTTACAAAGTGCTGGATCTTCTCAGAATCCCAGAATTAAGGCTGGGAAAACCCTCCAGGATCACCCAGTGCCACCCCAGCCCCACCAGCACCACCCCAATCCCTGTCCCCAAGGCCACATCCAGACTGCTCTGGGACAATGCCAGGGACTCCAAACCTCCCTGGGCAGCTCAGCCCAAGGCCTGACCACTCTGCCAGGGAAATTTTCTGTGCCAGTCTCCAACCTGAGCCTGCCCTGGTGCCATCTGAGGCCATTTCCTCTCCTCCTTTCCCTGCCCCTCCTGGCAGGAGCTGTGCAGAGCACTGAGGTCTCCCCTGAGCCTCCTTTGCTCCAGACTGAGCATCAGAGAGCTGTGACTGATCCAGCCTGCCCTGAAGGTGGAGTTTAGAAAGTGCTGGATCTTGTCAGAATCCCAGAATCAAGGCTGAGAAAACCCTCCAGGATCACCCAGTGCCATCACCCCAATCCCTGTCCCCAAGGCCACATCCAGACTGCTCTGGGACAATTCAGGGACTCCAAACCTCCCTGGGCAGCTCAGCCCAAGGCCTGACCACTGTGCCAGGGACATTTTCTGTGCCAGTCTCCAACCTGGGCCTGCCCTGGTGCCATCTGAGGCCATTTCCTCTCCTCCCTTCACTTTCCCCAACCCTCCCTCACTGCTCCTCCTGCACTGAGCTCCCCCACATCCCCTTTTCTCCAGGCTGAGCCCCCTCAGCTCCCTCAGCTGCTCCTCCCAGGATTTGTTTTCCAGATCCTTCTCTTCCCTGGACACACTCAAGCCCCTCAGGGGGAAAATCCCCCAAAAGCTCAGGAGGATTCATCCCTGTCTTCTGGGAGCAGCCTGATTACAACACCAAGCCCAGGCTTTTGCAACATAAAAATCCAATTTCAACTTGGACACACGGTCAGGAGGAAATTACAGGCCTTGTTGAAACACACGGATTTCTGCTGCTCCTCCATTCATGTATCTGGTTTTAAATAATGAAAAAAAATCAAAATAAAAATCATGTGCTGGCCATGAGGGGAGGGAGGAAAATAAACAGAGCAGGAAAAAAGCTAATTAGGAATGCAAAACACAGGCTTCTGCAGCAAAGAGATACAATTAGGAGAACGGATGATGCAGACTTGGCAGCAGGTAACAACTTATTACATGGACAGGCTGAGGCTGGACTTCCAAGGGTCACAAAGAAATTCTTTAAAGGACACAACACGGGGAAGTTGTGAATTCCCACACTGATGCACCCAGAGACACACAGATTGATTTTTTCGCTACTTCCTGAGATTGTGCTGGAATTAACATGAAGGCGACGATAATAAAATTCTCCCCACAGCCTCCCCCAGCTTCAGAGCTCTGAGCATGGTGTGTCCTTGTTGGTTTGGTGGCGTTTTTTTCCTTCTCTGGGAAAAACAAGTTGGATTTTCCTTACCAGAGAGATTAACTGTACGTGCACTTTTTTACATATTGACTTCCCTTCTTCTCTTTCAACTTAATCAGTTGCAGACTTAACAACTTCATTTTTCTGCAGAGTGGCTTCATCACAGTGCTCACCACATTTCCCCCCCTCCATGAAATATTTTCCTTCAAGAAATTATCTTTTTTTATATTTTTTTTCTTTTTTTTTGTGCTCTCTAACCATCATGCTGACTATTAATTCCAAAAACCAGAATGAGATATAAGATTATGGCAACATGACAATAAATTTACCCGTCAGGAAGAATATCAGATGACATCTATATGATCATAGAAGATGATACTGAAATTTTATGCAAACTTTTCTCTTTTTTTGAGCATTTTTGTGGTAATTTCCAAAATGTGAGCAAGGCACTTTTGGCATTCAGCTGAAATAGTGAGAGGTTCTAGCAGAGTTTTTATACAAATACCCTCCTCCCCACCCTGCAGTGCATATTATGAGTGCTGACAAGAGTAATAAACAATATTTAATTATTTTACAGAAATTCCAAGTGTAAGGAGGGCTCTCCTGCCAACACCACGACTTTTCATCCTACATGAACATAAAATGGGAACTGAAACCCCCGAAACCACGTTTGCCTAATGTTAGCAGCTATAAATTTCATTGGTGTCGTGGGTTTAAGGTTGAAACTCCCATGAAAGCATCCTGCTGTGTTACAGTATTGCAGAGGCATTACCACAGCCGGCAGAGCATTCCAGATGTTCAAATACCTGGGCACAAGAGTTGTGGGCAGATTTTGGCCCTTCCCTTCGAGCTCCTTGCCTGGAAATCTCACTCTCAAAGAGGTTGTTTATGGAGGATTGTAAAAGCAACACAAACAAACAAAAAACCCCCAAAAACCCCAAAAACAAAAAAACCCCA